ATGTTACTTAAGTTGTAAATTAAATGAAGAATAAATAAATAAAAAAAGGTAGCAGTAGGTACTTCTCTGTCTCCATGAAGCTAGGTATCCTATCTACAATGCTTAAAGCACCTGCTTTCCCTCGGTGTTGCATTGCCGTTGGACACCCGTAATCACAGAACACTATACTCACAAGGATAGGATGCCCGTAATAGGTGAATAAGATCATAGACAAAACACATCTGCAGTTTTTTTAAAAAATTATTTTATTAATTAATAGAAAATGGTGGTTGTGCATTTGTTCTTAAGAAATACACTCCTCGGGACCTGCAAATAAAGAAATCGTATCCTTGGTACATCGAGTATATAACCAGACATAGAGACGAAATGTCATTTAATTTGTTTGAAAACTTAGAATAATAACGCATAGAATGATAGTTTCATATCAAACGAACTGTCACAAGTGAGGCAAAAATCAAATTCATGTAGGCTAGTTTTAGTAGTAGGTTCATTTTCGGTTTTAGTGAATATTTATATAAAAATACAAGTTGAAACGCGTTACTTCCTCGTGGAATGTGATGTTAGTATCTATTTTATGTTTGTCTGACGTATTTTTACACTCATTTACCGCAAATTTCGTCATTTTTAGCTAAAATTCTTGATCTGTTCGCGGTGCAAGTTGACCTTGAGCACTGACGGCCCGCCCGCTCGTGTAGGCCCATTGAGAGCGCTTCAATTTGCCTCACTTAGCGTGTGCGGACTAGGTTTCTATGCGTTATTATTCTAAGTTTGAAAATTATTCTGCCATATCATTATTGTGACAACTGCGCTCCTATTGGCTAGCCAGAGTTCGAAACAATTAACGGGTGTCAATTGGTTCACTTTAAATCGACCACTTAATTTGAGCTTTGCTGCAATGGACGTATATTGCAAAATTGCGTATTTAAAATTTAACTACCAATGAAATTTGTTTCCGTTTGTTTTGTAATTAGATGTTTTGCTGTTTTTTCCCCACACCACCGAATGGAACAGTATGCCATTGTTAGAGATATTATCTTTATTAAATAAATACACAATATTTTTGGAATATACAGAGACACACAGGTCAGTTGTTGGGCAGTCTTTATTTTAGTGCAAACGAGAGTTGATATTTATTATGTAAATAAAAAAAAAAAAAAATATACTACAGATCATAACTGTAAAAAATTTATTCTTATATTTAAATGGCGATTATTAATAATAGCCTGGAAGTGTACTCAGTCCAACCCTTTATTTCTTCTTCTTTGTTTATTAGTGGCTTGTTCTGTGTCTGTCACAATTCCGCCAATGTCACCTAAGTAGCCTCTACACGGGAGCAACCATTTACTTAACTTTTGACAGCCCGAATTGTAATCAATTAGTGGTGTCCTACTGCGTTTCCGATTCGATTTTTCATAACAATCGATTTTATTTATAAAGAAGTTCCAATAGTGAATGTGAGCGGGTTCCAAAAAGAAGATATTGGAATCGTGCTGTTGCGTTTGACAATTTGTGTATTCTAGAATTAATAATTAATGTTAATGCGGATGATTCCCGTTCATATGGAGAAAAATCCGACGACTCATTATAATAAACAATAAGAATTTGTCATTATTATTTATAATTTATTTCACTTCATTATAAATTATCAGACAGGTACCGAAATTTATCAACTTGAATAATCTTCGATACCTAATACGTTGGCTCGATAAAGAGCACATAGCTTCACTAAAATTAAATATAAAAGAGTCCAGGAAGTATTTATTTTGTCTATGGTTGTATGTCAATAATTGCGGAACTTCCTTAGAGGTAGTCTATGGGAACTTCGGAGGCATGCATAATATGTCAAAAGTTAAATAAGTGGTCGGACGGAATATAGTTTATACTATTATGTAATTAATCGTGGATCTTAATTAATTTCTCTTTTATTAATATAAGAAGTCAGTTTTTTCCTTGTTAACATCTCGGACCCACTTCAGATGTCGCTCCGATTACAATCCGAAAAAATGCTAATATCGCTGCAACACCTAGATAAAATGTTCCCTGTGTCATTTCGGACCTTCATTTCTCGGATTCGGAAGTAATACGAATCCGACGTAGTGTGTAAACGTTTTAACATTCACAAACTGATAATGAATTAAAATTATCTTCTGAACTTTGAGAAATATGCGTAACAATAAATGGCATTGTGTGTTACAAACTAATTTATAACTTCGACCCCCCTACGTAAAGTGTCGTATGTCGAAATTGCCAAGTTTACAGGAGAGCGTTTTAAAGTTCTGAATTCCCTGAAATAAGCAGAACACGTGACTTTAGCATTTGTCAGTTTTATTCCACAAAGCTCATTACTGACATAGAGTATTATAAAATCCTAGATATCGGTTAGATGAACAACCACAATTTATTTTATTCAATATATTAAATGGTTTGTTTCAAGTTCAATGTAATAAAATTACTAGTTTGGAGCGTTCGTTCAATGTCCGAGCAAGGACAAGACGAACTAAGGAACTTCATGATCTAAATGAACTAGAAGACCGACCTAGTTCAGTTGACCGATTGAACTAACTAGGATTCGCTCCCTCTAAGGACCGATTAGGCACAAGTCTATTATTGAATAGTAGATACCTAAACCATTTCATCTAAAAACACAGTTTTTCCCGCGTCTCCTCCGGTGACTCGACTTAATACCTTCTACAGCGCATCAATCGACAAAAGCACAATGCTCGCGCGAATATCTTAATAAGGCACTTCGTTTAGAGTGGTTACACACAGCAGCGAAGCGAAACGCGCGATTGCATCGCTACACTTACTTATAATCGCATATAATGCCGGATTCACAGGTCTTCCACTTGCGTTTTTCACTTGCTTGCGTAGCGCAAGTAGGACTGCTCACGAGTCGCCCGTTTGCGCCGGCCACTTGCTTTACGTTGGATTTCTTTGCGTTGCCTGAGTTTGATATCTAGCAAGCTTGATATTTCCACGCAAGCAACAGGGAACGTTTGCGGAGGACAGCACCACTGGTCAATCACAGAGCGTTCACGCGTCCAGTACAACGCTAAGCGGAAGACTCGTGGACGCCTTTGCGCGGAAGGCAGCAAGCCAATGCAAGCAAGCGAAAAACACGAGTGAAAAACTCATGAACCTAATAATAATCCCAAGTGTAGCAACGCAATCGCACGTTTGTATCGTTGCAGTCTCGCGCATGCCGCGACACGCATGACGGTGAATTAGGTACTGCATTATCAATTGTTTTAATTCAGTATTCAGTAGCAATTGTTTTAATTTTTTTTTTATTCTTTTATTATTATTATATCATTGTTTATTTTAAATTCTCGCTTCTCCGAGGGCCTAAAAGATTAATTTTGAGTTGTTATTATTATTATTATTGTCATTGTTATCGTTATAGTTATTGTTGTCGTTATTATTATTAACAGTTTTCTTTCTTTCTTTCTTTCTTGCATCGCGTTTACATCACTGCTAAAATTCGCCGTGTGTAACAGTTCTTATATGTCAAGTGATAAAGGACGACGCGAAGTGCTCCATGTGCTTACCCGGTTTTTGGTTTAACCCCTCCCATATTAAGACGTCCATTTAAGCTACAGGCTCCCAACATAGCGTGTGCGTAGGTGCGACACTCTGTTCCACTGAACCCTCCTGTTTTCACTGATTCTGCCATGTAGTGGAAACATCTGGAACAAATTCTTCCTTTATAATAATTCCTTTATACAAGGCAGCATAGCCTACCCCTCCGCTCTCGCCCGGGCAGTCGCTTGGCAACTGTAGGAACTCGCGCGTGTTACGTATAAGAAACGCTAATTTACCAGCTTCGTCAGCCCTGCCAAGCTGCCGCGACAGCACCCATCTAAGTAGGACAAACGGCATGCCAACACATACTGCCGTCCTTATCATAAAGAACGTAATTGAAATTTTTATCGATATTGAGTTATTAACATATCGCACTGTTAATACAACAGTGTATTAACTCAAAAAGTGGACTTTCTCAGAATCGATGAAAAACTAACTACTCACTTCCCGCAAAAAATGATTAAAATGTATGTATATGTTATAGTTTATTATAGACACTTAAATAATTTCTCAAATATATTTAAAAATAAAATGGAAAAAATAATTTCAAGTTTTTGAATAAGGATTATATTGGCCAGAACTAGCTCCCATAAAGTGCGTCCCATTTTGAGTTAAGTAGATATCTTTTGATTGTTTCTTACAATATTCTACCGACGGTTTTCAACCGCCTATAAGCAGTTTTTTTATATCTTATTTAGTTTCTGTATTATTGTTAAGTCAATTCAGGGTAATTGACATTTTTCAAAGAAATAAAAATTTTGGTTCCAATGTGTCGAAAGTTACCAAAATGCGTTTATGACAAGTAGGGCAACATATCTGACAACACTCTGTAACTTCTCTAAATTACATATTTTAAGTTAGAATAGGTTGATTGTAATTTTGAATTCCATGTATTTAGGTTAGCACAAGAAATAATTTTTTTTTTAAGAAATCTCGTCTCAGTCAGCCAATTCGCGCACACTCTTGTGGAGAAAATTTTAATTAATTCCGTTTTGAAAAAAATTCGACGTAAGTTCATTCGTTTTGATCAACCTTACTTTCTTTATATATTATAGCTACGATTATATTCAATTACTTCTATGATCAAAAAGGCAAAGCGGCTTGAGTAAAGCGTAGCCGCCATATGAATATGAAATGTGAAATAGCAAAGTTGTTTCTTTAGATGGTGTAGATAAACGAAATACAACTAAGGCATCGTGAAGCAAGGCGTCAATGGCGTGTGCTATAAAATAATTCAAAGAAAATAAGGCTTCTAAGAATCCAAAAAGTATCAAAGCTTTTAAATTTGCATTGAATTGATATTCAATTATTTTATGTGAAGTTACTTCACAAATTTGTTATAATTATGAATAAAAAGATTGAACACTCAGAAAAAATTCCCTCGATCGGACAGGATTCGAACCGACGTCTTCTAGCATACTTTGCCAGACTCTACACCAACTAAGCCACGGAACGAACCAGCGGACCTCACGAATGTTTCAATTGTGCTTATTGTCGTCTTTGTATTTGGTTATTCGACGACTTTTTAGCCGTAGCTTTTATAAATGTAACAAACCACTCGGGTTGAAGTCTAACCGAAGAGTGAGACATAGTCTCATTCATCTCAATCGAAATCATACGTTCAGAACGGTAATTCTACAGAGTACTTATACAGGAGGGCGTAAACACATTTTGATATCCTAATTCATGACACCCCCACTATATCAAAATGTCTAGATCAATTACAAATTAAACTACTTAGGCACTAGTCCTAACATGAGCAGAAATCTACAATGCTTAGTTACATTAAGACTCTTAGTCCGCAGATCCGCAGGCTAAACTGCTGTAGGTACGTATAAAGTTTTAATTAACTTGTCAGCTACACTTTCTCTACAAAAATGATAACGCACGTCAATGTGTTTAGACCTCTTATGAAAAACAGGATTGGTTAGCAACTTCTGAGCACTTCGGTTATCATTATACAGAGTAACAGTATACATATCACTAGTTATTTCAAACTGCAAATTTCTCAAGTAAATGGCTTCTTTACAGGCCTCGGAAATACTCATGTATTCCGCTTAAGTACTGGACAATGCAACCGTTTTTTGTTTCTTACTCTCCCATGAAATCGCACCTCCAGAAAACATAAAATTAAATCCTATATAAGACCTCCTATCCCCTATATCATGTGCCCAGTCAGCATCTACAAAGCCTTCAATTTCCTTTGATATCCTAATTAATGACAGTAGCGCCATCTATAAGAAATCTATGAGAGTATTTCGTCACCCAGTTAGATACCTTTATAGCTACCAAATACCAGGTATCAAATTTTGTTTTACTTATTTGTTTTTATTATTTTTATTTTAGTTATCAAGTTTTGTTTTATTTTGTGTTCTGAAGATGTTTTTGTACGAGTAGATTTCTGTTGATAACTACATAGGTAACCAAATTAAGTTTCTATCACATTTCGTATTGCAATTAATTCCTTCCACAATTATTATTTTCCGCAGAACTTTAGGTGTCCGCTTTCCCTGAAACCTATTAACCACTTTCGATCTTATTTATATATTTACATCACATTGGCTTTCACGTTACAATTTTTTTTTAATTAAATGAACTTGCTCTGGAGCAAAGATACGATCTACGATGGAACGAGCTTGCCCAGAAGATGCCTATTCAGTCGCACCTAAAAAATACCCGGGTCGTATGAATTCGGAAATACAGTCGCAGGCAGGGAATTCTATTCCTAGGCTGTGCGCAAAATAAAAGATAATGAAAAGCGCTTAGTCCGCCTGAAGGGAATATCGACCAAGTAAGGTCCCGCCATACGTCTGGATGTCCGATGGTAAAAGGCTGAATGAGCTGATGGAGCATAACATCATCATGGACACACTCACCGAAATATATGTAACTAATAAAAAACCACATTAAAAAATTACATTAAATACTACAGCAATTAGTGTCAGGATCGTAACTAATGTCTACAAGGTTAAGGTAACCGCTTGAAGCTAACCACCCCACGTTCCGCGGTTTAGGCTATGGTCCGCCACGCTGACCCAATGCAGGTTGGAGACGTCACATATTTTCCAAGGTTTGTGAACCTTCTACGACGTGCAATTTTCATTACGATGTTTTCCTTCTCATGGTCAATTTAAATTTATGTTTTTCTTATGACACCAAGTCACAAGAGACTGAGGCATAAGTTGACAAGTTCCATGTGCCTGTAATTTCACTAACACCCTTACCCTTGGAACCCGGAAAGCAGTAATGTGACTATTATTGCTTGGCAGCTGAAATAGGTAAGGCAGTACTTCCCTGGACGAACTCTTTCACAAGGAGCTTCATTGCTAAAGCTACGCTATTCAGATCCGAGAAAATAGATTCATTTTGAAAAATAATACTTGTCTTTTTATTGCCTTTTCTTTTATGGGGAGGAGATCTTTATGGATACTCCTGGGTCCAGATAGGCTTAGGGGTTATGTGGGGACTCTCCCCCCAGACTGGGGGCTTACTTCACTAAAACCCCCCCGAGTTTACTTCTTGCCGGTTGAGTCGGCGCCGTGAGATCAGTGAGCATTAACCACGACGTTATTTTTATTGCCTGTCTATTAACTGCCTCCGTGGCCGAACGGATACCATGCTGGTCTGCCACGCAGACCTCCTCAGTTCGATTACCGGGCCGGGAGAAATATTTGTATGGCTTACATTTATTTCTCTCGTGAGTTGGGTGTGATTTGTGTTTGTCTATGTGTGTGTCCATGGCACCCGCGACACTGGGTTTTTCCTAGTGCCTATGTTGAGCGTGTGCGTTATTATTATTATTATTATTACTTACTTGAACGATCTTTTTCACACACTTTTTAAAACATTTATCATGACAACTAGGAAAGATAACTATAACTTCGGACCCTGATACCTATCATGATCACAATTCTGTCCGTCGCAACCAGCCATATTGATTCCTCCATTTGGATAAAAGTCCACGTGGCCCAGCGGAGTGAGATACCCTGATACCCCTGCATTGGTGTGGATCACTTCAGTGTACTGCCCGTCGTTGGCCTGGAACTTGTGGGGGTTGAGGATCCAGAGAGGGTAGGCTGGATCTAGAGCTGGAAGAAATTATATCAGAGTATTAACCACAGACCAAATTAGTTTTAACTAATGTCAGAGATAAAAAAAAAACACTCTCCGTCCCTGCCTAGCTTTAGATTACTGATGAAATGGAAGTGTCGTAAGGAAACAGATGTTAAAATTAAAGCTTAGAGGAAACGGAAGCGGATGCGGAGGCAGAGAACAAAAACGTAACGAGAATGGACACTCTCCGCTCTTCCCTATCCTTAGACACCGCACCACGCCCCGCACATTGATTGACTGAACAACAACAAGGCTGTCGGAGAGCCGTTTTCGCGCTAAGATGGCTTTTATATTTGTACATAGTTTTCATTTATTCATTACTTTATTGTGCGTTAGTACATAACATCATTGTACGTTACTATTTATAACGATAGTGAGTTCAATTGTACTGTGTAGGGTTGTTTATCGTCAGGTAAACGGGATAAAAAAGAAGTCGCTTTCGATTTCCGAAAGATGTAACGAGATCATTGACTTACAAATAAATGGACGACGGGTCTAATACAAAAACCACGAAAAAAATGTCCCAAGTCAACCTATTCCAAATTTAAATTGTAATGTCATCGCAGTATCGCGCTGTCAGTAGAACAAATGAAGACTAAAGCGGAGATTGGCGCTCTGTATACGATTTTAGCGCCTTACAAGCGCGGACACTTTTTAGCGCGGACCCGACGTCCATATAATTGTAAGTCAGTGAACGAGATATATAAAAAAATATATGTCTGAGACTTATTCAGTTATTGTTTTTTTCATTTATTTACTTTAGAGTAATAATCGTATACAATACATAGTTCAACTGATTTAAAAAAAAAATTGGTATATCTAAATTACCTATTGAATACAGCGGTTTTCTCATTGACTTACAATTATATGGACGTCGGGTCCGCGCTAAAAAGTGTCCGCACTTGTAAGGCGCTAAAATCGTATACAGAGCGCGACACTCCGCTTTAGTCTTCATTTGTTCTACTGACAGCGCGATACTGCGATGACATAACAATTTAAATTTCGAATAGGTTGACTTGGGACATTTTTTTCGTGGTTTTTGTATTAGACCCGTCGTCCATTTATTTGTAAGTCAATGGGTTTTCTTGTAAAATTTCGAGGTAAGGAGTCGTGTTTTTACACCGTATACTAATCAGTGCATATCTTCAATTTAACTGTATATTTTGTAAAGTGATTGACTCAACACGTTCACTGTTCACTGTTATGCTAAATCAACCAAATCAATTGTTTTTTTGTTTTTTTTTTTATTTTTTTATACATGACAGGCAAATGACTCAACTCCACCTGATGTTAAGTGGAAAGTGGTATCCAAACGCGAAGGAACCTAGTGCAGCGATGGAACCCTCACTGCACTAGCCACCTCCACCCTGCCCGCCTACAATATGCCTCTTCACGCCTCGTTTGAAGGACCCCATATCATAAGAGGGAGGGAAGACATGTGCCGGAAGGGAGTTCCATTTGTCAACCGTGCGGCAAAGAAAGGATCCACCGAACCTTTTAGTACGCGATGGAATGCGGCAGGTAGTGAAACGGTGACTACGAAGGCCAGCACGCGTGCTTCTGAGCAGGAACGGGGAAGGGGGGATGAGGTTGAACAGCTCTTCAGAGCACTCACCATGGTACATGCGGTAAAAGGCGCTAAGCGATGCAACATCTCTACGCAGTTGCAGAGGTTCAAGGCGTGATGAGATGTTTTTATAAGTCAATTGCTTACATAAGAAATAAAGATTATTTACTTACCAGTAATGTACGGGATAGATCCATTGAGGTTTCTCCCAATAATGCCAGCTTGATGCCCTCCGAGACTATGCCCCACTATATGGTAGTCGGAGAAGAATGCCCCGGTCTCCCTATTCAACCAGGTGATGAATCGTGACACGCCCTCGCCTGGAATCATGAATTAAATAAATAAATATAGTTAATAACGCACTCTCACAGCCACGTGTCATGGACCCACACATAGATAACCACAAATTACACCCAAACTCACGAGAGAAGTAAATGAAAAAGACATTCTTTTTAAAAATTAATCTATGTTTTGGGTCTAAATACCTTATATTTAGTAATAAAACCCCTTGTGAAAGAGTTCGTCCTGGGAAGTGCTGCCACCTGACCTATTTCTGCCGCCAAGCAGGAATGTGTTCCAGTTTATAAGGGTAAGGGTGCTGGTGAAATTACGGGCTCATGGGACCTTTGCGTATTAAAGCTCTGAGTGGCACTGCAACTGTTATGGATAGGCGTGTCGCTTACTATCAGGCTATTGCTCGTCCCGTCACTAGATATTTAAGAAAAAAAAAACAAGAATTCTTACCCGAAATTACAGTATTAATAACTGACGTAACGTAGTTTTCACCTGCGCCTGCGTTCCAGTCGACCACGATTACGTTCACGTCCTCGGCGTTGAGAAAGGCTGAAAACATACGGGATCTCGTTTCGTCCGTTGCACTGTGTTTTACGATATCACACTGTTAATACAATAGTGTATTAACTCAAAAAGTGTATTTTTCAGAATCGACGAAAATCGAATACTCCGTGAAAGATCATTAAAATTTATGCACAGGGTAAAATTTATTACTGACATCATTGACTTACGAATAAATGGACGACGGGTCTAATACAAAAACCACGAAAAAAATGTCCCAAGTCAACCTATTTAAACGTAGTGACATGTAAAGGAATATGAAAAAGCTTTTTAATTGTAATGTCATCGCAGTACTGTCTAATTTTGCTTGCTTCGCTGTCAGTCAAACAAACGAAGACTAAAGCGTGAATGACGCTCTGTATACGATTTTAACGCCCTATAAGTTCGGACACTTTTTAGCGTGGACCCGACGTCCATATAATTGTAAGTCAATGACTGACATCTAAACAATTTCCTACTGGCCTAATTCTTTAAAAATAAAAGGGAAGAAATAATTTCATATTTTTGAGCTAGGACTGTAAGTTTTAGCCAGAACTAGCACACAGAAAAATTTTCTCATATTGAGTTAAGTAGATATCTTTTAATTGTTTCTTACAATATTCTAACGGCGGTTTTATTGACGTGTTCAAATTCATCATTAAATGTCATTGACTTACAATTATATGGACGTCGGGTCCACGCTAAAAAGTGTCCGAACTTATAGGGCGTTAAAATCGTATACAGAGCGTTATTATAAAAATAAATAAATAAAATAAAATAAAATAAAATAAAATAAAAATAAAATAAAATAAAATAAAAATAAAATTTTTTCACGCTCTAGTCTTCGTTTGTTCGACTGACAGCGAAGCAAGCAAAATTAGACAGTACTGCGATGACTTTACAATTTAAATTCAACGTTTTAGCTTTGTCATATTCCTTTATATGTCACTACGTTTAAATAGGTTGACTTGGGACATTTTTTTCGTGGTTATTGTATTAGACCCGTCGTCCATTTATTTGTAAGTCAATGTCAAAAGTCATCAAATTGTGGTGTCAGTAATGATTTAATCCTGAAATTAACATATTTTGACTTACAACACTATTGTATTATTAGTACCATATATGTAGCGTAGTTTATATAGATAATTCAGACTTTTTTTCAAATGCGGTAGCACCCCCTGGACAGCATCAACGACCCCAATTGCTTCCGAGGCCCCTGACGCCCCCTTAGGACGATAGGGATTACTTTGGAAAACTATGCTTTAGACGATAACGGCCTTGATGACTCCAGTGTATTCCAACTCTAGGTACATAAAGGAGGTAGTATCAGTTGTCTGGCCTAGGTTATTACTGCTGTACTCACCCGGTACTAAAACAATATTGGATCTATCAGTGACAGATCCAAGCCAGCCATGGACGAGGACCACGGTCCGGCGGCGTGGATCGAAATCTGTCTGGGAGAGAAGAGATGGAACGCCCAAGAGGAGGGGGTAGCCAGTATTCGGGTGTGATCTGAAACAGAGATAGATTAAATCTAAGAAATTTAAAAGTGAAGCTTTTTAAGCTTTAAAACTGAACTGATTGTCACGTTATTATACCACAGATTACTTAATCTAGGTATGCATTGAGTACCAGAATGACAACCAGAATTGGAGACGAAATAAGGGCTATCCATCCCTGGCAACTCATCAGGCAAATGGGCCTTATATCACTTTTAAATATCTACTTTTGTTTGCATCACAAATTAGAAAACTGAAATAGTGAACGCCAACAACTGACCTGTGTATAGGTACGCCTCCGCATATTCCAAATTTATTCTGTATATTTATTGTAATAAAGATAATACATCTAACTATGGGGGCTGTTCCATTTGGTGGTACGGGAAAAACTACAATACATAACGAGTTCTTAGGTTTTCGCGATTGTTACACATAGGAAATGAAACTATTTTTCCGGATTTAAATCGCGTATATTTGTTTTTTCAAACAAACCGACGTTTCGGACCCTTTACAGGTCCCATGGTCACGATTGACTAAGACAGCAAAACATCTAATTACAAAACAAACGGAATCAAATTTCATCGGTAATAAAATATTAAATATGTCATTTTGCAATTTTCGTCCATTATAGCATAGCTCAAGTTAACTGGTCGGTTTGAAGTGAAACAATTAACGACACCGGTCAATACTTTCGAATTCGGGCTGGCCAATCGGAGCACAGTTGTCACCATAATGATTTGGCAGAATAGTTTTCAAACATATTAAATGACATTTCGTCTCTATTTCTGGTTATATACTCGATGTTACTACGTAACAAATACATCAACTCTCATACATAGGTGATGTCAGTACGGAGAACTAAAAAACCGACTTCAAAAGTTCGTGAAATTATATCTATTGTCCAGTACTGAGGTATCCTTTTTTCTATAAAAAAATAATCATTAAAGTCGGTTCACAAATAACATGCTGAAGGCGCTGGTGCGAGTTCGGCCGTATCGAAAAATTTTTTCTCAATGACCGATCTTTGTTTTAAAAATAATTATTGAAACCACGCGCGGGCGTGTGAATGGTCGATATTAAAAGTAGATACGTGACCAGGTTTTATTGTCATTGGTTGTGTTGTTACCGCGCTGAAGTGTGGTTAGACGAGAACAAAATAGACACGTGAGCGTGATTATTTCTTATTGGATCTCAATGAAAAATCCCACACTTTTACCAGTTCTAGTCGTTTTGGGGATTAGAAGATCAACCAGATAGCAAGTGAGTTACAACCCTATCAACCCGCTCGGGTTTTGATCGGGTTTTTGCCCATAGTGTGGGTGGAAACGGCTAATACGGAATTTGGTATAATTGCATACTTCAAAATCTAGTGCATCTGATCTAACGATTTTTTGTATCGATTTATTTTAATGAGATTTTCAAACGAATCGATTCATTAGAAAGGCAAATCGAATCGTCTACATTAGAAAGCAATAAACATTTTTTAATAATATCATTAAATTTCTATTTACAATAAATATTTAGTTGTCAATAATTTTTGTCCTCTATTTCGGGCCTTAGAAGAAAAATAAATAACTATTAATATTATTCCTCTTTGTATGAAATGCTGGTAAAACTGCAATTAATTGTTTGTGACATCAGTATCGTTTATTTAAATTTTATTTTAATTGCTTGTTATCTTTAAAGCATATATTAAGATTATCATTACCTGACTTTAAAACTTACATCAAAAGTATTGTAATTGCAAAGTCTTATAACAAAATTGAAGACTACGTGTTAGACAAAGATGTGTGGATATACGAAATGGGTTTAAATTCCACACAAATTTGATTCAAATTGTATTCCATATCATTTAAATTTATTTGAAAAACGCAAATCCCTAGAGTTTCTTGCTCGTTCTTCTCAGGGAAGTCAGCACAGTGAACGAGCAGGTTAAATAATGACGGTTTCAAACAACGATATGTAAGTAATAGCTTACTAGACGCGGCATCCCATACACACTCTTAGGCTTAACTCACACTGGCGCAGAGTCGAATAGTCGCGTCGCGTCCTGTTTTTCAAATCCACGGTCGGCGTCTGACGCCTCACGCCGCCCAAGTGACGCGCATCGACGCGCGAGAGAAATAGAGACGTAATGTCATTAAATTTGTTTCAGAACTATTCTGCCATATCATTAAGGTGACAACTGCACTCCGATTGGCTAGCCCGAATTCGAAACAATTGACGGGTGTAGTTAATAATTTGACTTCAAATCGAACAGTTTAACTTGAGCATTGCTATAATGGACGAAAACTGAAAAATTACTTATTTAATATTTAATTACCGAAGAAACGTGATTCCGTTTGTTTTTTAATTAGATGTTTTGCTGTTTTTCCTATACCACCCAATGGAACAGCCCCCCATAGTTAGAGATATTATCTTTATTACAATAAATACATAATATTTTTGGAATAAACGGAGGCGTATACACAGGTCAGTTGTTGGCGCTGTACTATTTCAGTGCAAACGAGAGTTGATATTTAAAAGTGATATAAGGCCCATTTGCCTGATGAGTTGCCAGGGATGGATGGCCCTTACTTCGTCTCTATTTCTGGTTATATACTCGATGTAGACTCCAAAACTTACCGAGTAAATACATAATAAATATTATCTCGATCCGGGTTATATCTGGCAACAGTAAAGTCAACGGCTTGGACTCCAGTGTTGTTTACCGGCGGACTTGAGTGTTGGACGGACGGAAGGTTTACTGGCTTAAGATGTTCTGGTGGAATAGCTGGAAAAAAAGCTTCTATTTATAACAATAATAATAACATATTTAAAGCGTACTGTACATCGTTGTATTCTTGCAGTCTATGGAGCAGGTTCGCACAACGATCCCACGATGCTTTGCGGGTCTAATACAACGACGCATTTAGGGTGCTTTTACTTCTTCCACGACGCTGTAGCGCTTCGGGAATGATCGCGGTCGCAAATGTCGACGGATTCGGCGCGACGTTGCGCAAGCGCTGCAGCGCGTCGATGCGCAGAATGCGCGCCAGCCGTCACAGACTCCTGTCTGTTGTAGCTGACAGGTGGGACAGTAGCCTATTAAGGCACTGGTCTTCTCTCCATTTAAGTTTAGGTACTAACATAGTTATTATTTAAAGTTCGTTTTGTAATACTAACACCCTATGGATCAACGTTGTCCGAAATAAATGCATTTTATTTTATTTTTATTTTATTTTTATGGTATTCACTCTTTCACAAAACTCCTTGTAAAGGAGTTCATCCAGGGAAGTAAGTACTGCCACTGAAAGTACACGTTTCTGCTAGCAAGCTGTAATACGAGCGTTACTGCGTTCCAGTTTTGACGGATACGGGTGCTGGTAAAGCTATAGGCACATGGGACTTGTCAATTTTATGTAATTCATGTTATTTTACTTTATGTTATAATTATAATAACTGCCTCTGTGGCCGAACGGTTACCATGCCGGACTGCCACGCAGAGATCCCAGGTTCGATCCCCGGGCCGGGTGAAATATTTGTATGGCCTACATTTATTTCTCTCGTGAGTTTGGGTGTAATTTGTGGTTGTCTATGTGTGTCCATGGCACCCGCGATACAGGGTTTCCCTAGTGCGGGGCTATGTTGAGTGTGTGCGTTATTATTATTATTATTATTAATAACAATAATCTCTTCATTTTTGTACCGACTCGTTTTTGCATAATATTAATGTACGTTGAACTTTTATTTGGTAATAATAACTAATAAATTGTTGAAAAATTGTTGAAATAATAACACAACACACTCATAGCCTCGCACTAGGGAAGTCCTGTATCGCGGGTGCCATGGACACACACATTACACAACCACAAAATACACCCAAACTCACGAGATAAATAAATATACGCCATACACATATTTCTCCTGGCCTGGGAATCGAACCCATCCGGCATGGTAACCGTTCGGCCACTGAGGAGTTATGGTAATGGCTGCAATGGCAGTGAGTCAGATCTTTTTATTTTTATTGAAAACCAACAGCGTTTGCAATATCATAAATATACAAAGTAAAACTTAAAATAGTACAGCCAATAACAGGTTTTCTAGAATAAAATTTATTATTACCTATACAACACTACAAAAGCATCAGTTAGTAGTTAATGCTTCTGATCTTCCCCAAAAACGTGGTTGGTGTGTAGTCGTGTCGGTGTGTGTGTGTATCTAGCCTTGATAGAATCTTTGGAATTAAAGATACTGACTTGTAGTAACTCTGAATTGAAATTTCTGACATCGGCTGGTTACAACTTGGAGACGGTCATCGCCCGAAGCTGCCACCGGACATTCTTTGTGATAAAAGTGCTAAGTTTCAATATCACTTGCCAGTTTTTTGTCTTGCGCCACCATAATTAGAAATTGTTTACGGTACTGCGATTACAATGGCGCAAGACAAAAAACACACTCATCATTTGTCGACCTCGGTGGCCCAAGACTTTGCACTATAGGATGACGAAGTCCTGGGTTCGATTCCCGCAGAACAAATGTGGAAATAAACATTTTATTGGTTCTTGTTTGGGTGTACTGGGTAGTACCCCGGTTGCTCAGGAATTGCCTAGTTTGAGAGAGTTGTACCCATCTGATCCCTTGTAATGTAACTGATCCACCGCCAATTTTGAATCCAGTCTATATTTTGCAACTCTCAACGGATCCCCTAATTGTTTTTGGAAGTAAGTACAGACAAGAGAAAAAGAAGTTTTAAAAGCAAATTTATTGAGCAATCGTAATCAAATGTTATAATTATCGCAGACAATACTTTTTTTGCACCAGGTCATTAATATTGACATTTACAAGTGCTATTTTTTGCTCAAATTGTATTTTGGTATAATTTAAGAAAATAACAAAGGGTTAAAGACGTTGACTGTTAAAACAAATTTTCTTGTTGACTGAACCACAGCACCTACCAAAAATAATCTTGTAAGGACACACGGAATGCGGTGGCAATAGAAAATAATATAAAATAAATCTGATCCACCAAGAGATCGATTTTTGGGGCTCAGAACCAAATAAATGATGTGGTTACTTGACATAAACTATTACATCAGATATGTGTTTAAGACATTCGCTATATAAAACATTAATTTTGATATTTTAAACGGACGGTATCATTATTAGATATCTTTTTTATAATATCAAGTAACGGGACGAACGAGTCGTGCGCCTGATGGCAAGCTACACGCCTGTCCTTAACAGTTACAGTGCCACTCAGAGCTTTAAATTGCAAAGATCTGAGAGCCATTGCTACTGCGCCCGTCACCCTGAGACGTAAGTTGACAAGTCCCATGTGCCTGTAATTTCACCAGCACCCTTACCCTTCCAAACTGGAACGCGATAATGCTAACATTACTTCTTGGCGGCAGAAATAGGTAAGTTGGCAGTACTTCCCTGGGCAAACTCTTTCTCAAGTAACTCTATTACTGCTACAATATTATGAATATTATTATTGCTTACCAATTATGGTAACATTAAGCATTAGCTTAATGTTATACCTACACCTAGTAGAAGTCACGTAATAGATCAACAAGGAGTTTCGTAAGGTAATTAATGAAATAAAAAAGTACATACCATAAACAGCGCCAAAAAGAAAAAGAACGCCAAAGATTAGCATTTTTCACGCCAAAATGAGAATTTAAATAAATATTATCAAAGTATTGATATGAATGTAAATTTAAAATAATTGCGAATTATATTCCGCTTGCCGCGTTATCTGAGCGATAACGTGCTGATCATTTTCTTAGGGTTGGCGATGTAAAAACATAATTCTGCTTATTATATGACGTATTTCTTATTATGTGACATATTTTCATTATTATTTGATAAATAACTCATATGTGTGGCATTATTTTAATTTAAAGACATGTACCATATGAATGCAATAAATATATATATTATTTTGTAATATCAAGTGACGCAACGAACACGTCGTGCGCCTGATGGTAAGCTATACGCCTGTCCATAACAGTTACTGTGCCACTCAGAGCTTTAAGATCTGAGGGGCACTGCCACTTGCCCCGTCACCCTGAGACATAAGTTGACAAGTCCCATGTGCCTGTAATTTCACCAGCGCCCTTACCCTTCAAAACCGGAACACAATAATGCTGACATTACTTCTTGGCGGCAGAAATAGGTAAGGTGGCAGTACCTCTCTGGACGAACCATTCGACATGGAGCTCCACTGCTGCTATTATATTGAGTATTGAAAAATACTGCTATATTTATTAATACAAAGATCGCATTTAGAAAAAATTCCATTGATCCTGCCGGATTCGAACCGTAGATGGCGCTACGGCTAAAAAGTCGTTGAAAACCAAATACAAAAATCCGATGGTTCGTTCCGTTGCATAGTTGACATAGCATCTGGCACGGTTTGCTAAGAGACGTCGGTTCGAATCCGGCCGGATAGAAGGAATTTTTTCTAAGTGTTCGATGTTTGTATTATTAATTATAACAAACTATAGTCCATTTGTTTAGGTACTTAACTAAATGTAAACAATCTTGATACATCTTTTTATTGAAACACATGCTTTACAAATCAATAGGCATAAAAATAGGCATGCAATTTCATATGAAGCTAAGTATTTGTATTTTGTATTTGAAGGTAAGGGAAAATCATTTTATAAATGTATATTTCATTAAATAGACATCTCAAGATTGTTTACATTTAGTTAAGTACCTAAACAGATGGACTATAGTGGAGTAATTTCACAAAAAAAATTGAATATCGCGGTCAAACATCCTGACGTTCAATAAAAATTTAAAATACCGCTACATCTTTTTATTTCTAAGTTTATCTAATAATTAGCCAACGTAATTAATTAAACGTTAGATAGTCTATAAATAACTTACAATCATAGAGGGAGATTTTTATTCTCCCTCTACGCTTGCAATATACACCACAACGTTCTTTATACATAGAATTTAAATAATACGTACACCATATACAAAATGCGCTCTTTTTAGTTCTGAATCAAAATTCTATTGTCTATGGCACCTACTCGCCAGCCACTGAATTGAAAAGACGCTAGCCACAGACGCTACTCGAACCTTAGACTATGGAAACATTCCATCCTCTAAGACTCGAACGCTATGAACGAAATATAAACGAAAAAAGAAATAGTCTAAGGCATTGACTTACATATAAATGGACGACGGGTCTAATACAAAAACCACGAAAAAATGTCCCAAGTCAACCTATTCGAAATTTAAATTGTAATGTCACCGCAGTATCGCGCTGTCAGTAGAACAAATGAAGACTAAAGCGGAGTGTCGTGCTCTGTATACGATTTTAGCGCCTTACAAGTGCGGACACTTTTTAGCGCGGACCCGACGTCCATATAATTGTAAGTCAATGGTCTAAGGTTAAAATATAAACGCTACTTGGTCAGATCATAATCTACCTCTTTGGTTTTTTGTTGTTTGTGTTTGTTTGGCTGAAATAGTTTAAAATTTATTAATAAATAATTGCATTTGTTGTCATGGATTGTTAACAAAATATATAACTAAATATTGATTCTATTTCATTATTTTATTTACTCGTAGACATGTTTAATAGCAACAGAGCTCTATGTGAAAGAGGTCGTCCAGGGAAGTACTGCCATCTTACCTATTTCTGCCGCCAAGCAGTAATGTCAGCATTACTGTGTTCCGGTTTTGAAGGGTAAGGGTGCTGGTGAAATTACAGGTACATGGGACTTGTCAACTTATGTCTCAGGGTGACGGGCTCAGTAGCAATGGCTCTCAGATCTTTGCAATTTAAAGCTCTGAGTGGCACTGTAACTGTTAGGGACAGGCGTGTAGCTT